ACCATATTCCCAATATAGAATGAGAATCCCATATTTATGCTTAGTTTGATAATCTTCTTTAATTGAGAGTTACATTTCTTTTCTTTGACTCTTTACTACAGGATTGTGTTTTCCAAAAGAAATACACTGATTCGATCCTCCATGTTTACTGGAATGGCAACCTAAGGATATGTAATTGTAACGACTGTTGTAAGCGCTGGTTCTTCACGTTCAACGGCACTGAATGCACGACACCCCGTGCTATAGACGGTATTGTTTACATGGCAAAAGGAGTCGGTCACAACATCCACCGTGTCCGCCATATTGAAGGTCACTGTGACAAGATCCACAAGGGACCTGTTCGTGTGGGCTTCAATGTCGGGAACTGTGCCGGGTATGGAAATGTGGATGCCTATACCGGGTGGAATTCAAACAGTCGTCTGTTCGTAGAGGAGGTACCCAGACCCCAGCCGTAGAACTATCCATTTCCGACAAGACATAAGCCAGACTGATTGAATACGAAGTCTGAGTAAAGCTCTCTAACAATTACTTTGAGATGTTGTTTAATCCATAATGTGTTAGTTAAATAAAATAGAAATAGAATAAAAGTCAACAAATAAATGTTACCATTATCGTTCAATATATTGTTGTTCAGTAATATCACTATTAAATGCTGCACAAATATGTTTAGACACTGTGTTGTACTGAAATTAAACACAGGAAGGAGTTGAGGAGAGGCGGGTTTTACCAAGCAAACAACGTAGATGCTCGTACCTGATCTCATGGCTAAACAAATTCGGGGACCCCTCGATCGACACTGACTAGGGACGAGTTAAAGACGGGCTATTCCAAACGAACATTGTAGATGCTCGTACCTGATCTCATGGCTAAACAAAGTCCATTAGTCCATTACACTGACGGGAGTTGTGTTAGAGGCAGATTAATGAAGCAATGGGTATTGTCTCGCAGTCAGCCGGTTAGTTGCATGAGGTCAGTGATGCTGAAGCTTCGTTTTACTACTACTACTACTACTACTACTACTACTACTACTACTACTACTACTACTACTACTACTACTACTACTACTACTACTACTACTACAACTACTACTGCTGCTGCTGCTGCTGCTGCTGCTACTATTATTATTATTATCATTATTATTACTTCATTATTATTACTAATACTCAATTTCAAATGATGATAATAATATAATCTATTGGTGGTGTGCATCCCTTCCCCTCAGGATAAAAGGTCAAAAAAACGTGGCCACCATCTTGGTTGACCCATCATTAAGACTCTCTGAGGTTATTTCGAGAATCATGCATTTGATCGTTTGTTTTTCCGTACGCACTTACTGCGCGCGCTCAAATGTTTACTCATTTTCTTGTGTTTTTCAACAACAACAAAATTAATAAATTGACATCAGTCTTTTATGTGTCTTTCCTCTTATGGACGATAAAATGGCGTCATCATATTGTCAAAGTAGTGTGGATCCACGAGGCCTAGCAGAGTGGATCCGCATACTATTTAGGCAATGTGTGATGACGAAATTTATTGTTAATAGGAGAACAGACACATAAAAAACTGATGTCAATTTGTTTTTTACGATAACAAAAACAATAAAAATTTCTCATTTTTTTGCGAACAAAACAACCAACGAAAAAGAGCGCGCGTGGCTGGTTGACGTCAGCTTATCTGCATGCCCTAATAACCAATCAGCGCGTGAGGAATTTCTAAGTTAGTGTTAAAAAGAACGTTTCTGTAACAATACACTGAATCAAAAACGGCGACCAATTTGAATAACTATTAGGGCAGTTCTTTATGAGGGAGACAAAAACTACACATTTTCAAACTTCTTCTGCAGGATTTAATTTCAGTGTAATTTCTACCTTAGTAATCGAAAATTCAAATTTTAGTAAAAGCCGTCACTCAAATTACTGTGGGTGGTGCCCATGGGATGAAAAATCGATGTTTCAATAACCTATTCAAAATACAATATATCAGTTGTAAGTTTGAACCCTGAAAAAAATATGAAGCTTTTATTGTTACTAATATTGTTGGTTGTTATTATTATAACTAAATCACTTGCTATAACAGCAAAAGACATTTGAGTAGAAATTTACACTTTCACGGCGAAAAAAATAATAACATAAATTTCGTCATGGACGTTACAAGGGTATATGCCCCAAGCATGATTTTTTAAAATTACATATTAGTATCTGCGTACATTGTAGCATTATTCCGAATTTTCTTTTAATTAGTCCCTATCAACATAACAACACCGCAAGATTTGAAAAAATCTGCTGTTTACATTATAAATTTGCGTTACGGACGTTACACTTTTAACGTTACGGACGTTAAACCAACATTGTCCTTAACGTTACAAAGTGTTATTTCTTGACTTTATCATTGTTTTTATTCTAGTTTTGTGAAATTAAGGCAAAAAGTGTCAATACAATTGCTTTTTGAAGCAATGTTCATTAAAAATTATATTATGGTGAGTGATACTTTTTTACGTATTGGAT